AAACTCTGATGCAAAAGCCCCCAACAAAATATTAGCTCAGAGAATTCAACGGCACACTGAAAGGATTATACAATATAACCAAGTGAGATTTATATCTATAATGCAAGCATGATTCAATGTATAAAAAGCAATCAACAGCCTAGCTCAGTGGCTCACACCTGAAATCCCAGCACTTCAGGAGGCCAAGGCAGGTGGATCATCTGAGCTCAGGAGTTTGAGACCATCCTGGCCAACATAGTGAAGCCTCATCTCTACTAAACACACAAAAATTAGCTGGGCGTGGTGGCAGGCACCTGTAATCCTAGCTACTCGGTCGGCAGAGGCAAGAGAATCGGTTGAACCCAGGAGGCGGAGGTTGCAGTGAGCCAGGATTGTGCCATTGCACTCCAGCCTGGCAACAAAAGGCAAACTTTGTCTCCAAAAAAACAAAACAAAACAAAAAACATCAAACCAAACAAGCAAAAAAACAACCAAAAATAAATAAATAAATAAAAACCAAAAAACAGTCAACATAACACCACATTAATAGGATGAATGAAAACTACTGCATGGTCATCTCAATTGATGCAGAAAAATCATTTGGCAAAACTCGACACCCTTTCATGATAAAAACAAACTACGAAGGGAAAGTATCTTCCTCAACACAATAAAGGCCATATACAGAAAGGTCACAGGTAACAATGTACTCAGTGGTGACAGACTTCAAGTTTTCCTCTAATCAAGAACAAGACAAGGATGCATGCCTTCGCCACTCTTATTCAACATATACTGAAAGTTCTAGCCAAAGCAATTACGCAAGAAAAAGAAATATAAGGCATCCAAATTAGGAAGAAGTACAATTATCTGTTTGCAGGTAACAATCTTACATATAGAAAACTTTAATAATTAAAAAAAGACAAACTGTTAGAGCTAACAAGCAAATTCAGTGAAGCTGCAGTTTACAAAATCAACAAACAAAAATCAAATGCATTTGTTTACTCTAAAAATGAAGAATTCCAATAGGAAATTAGGAAAAGTCTATTTATGATTACATCAAACAGAATAAACTAGGAACAAACTTAACCAGAGGTGAAAGACTTGTACACTGAAAACCACAAAATGTTGCTGAAATAAATTAGAGATAAATAAATGTAAAGACATTCAGTGTTCATGAAGCGAAGACTTAATATTGGTAAGATGCAAAGTTACTCAAAGTGATCTACAGAGTCATTGCAATCCCTGTCAAAATGCCATTTTCTTATAGAAATAGAACCCCCCCCCCTAAAATTTCTATATAATCTCATGGGGCCCCAAAGAGCCAAAATAATCTTGAAAAAAAGAACATATTTAAAAGACTCATACTTTCTGATTTCAAGACTTACTACAAAGCTACAGTATCCAAATAGTGTGATACTGGCAATAAAGACAGATAAATAGGTCCATGGAATAGAATAGAGAGCCCAGAAATAAACCCTCATATGTTTGTATGTGAGAATCAATCTCTCTCTCTCTCTCTCTCTCTCTCTCTCTCTCTGTGTGTGTGTGTGTGTGTGTGTGTGTGTGTGTGTGTGTGTGAGAGAGAGAGAGAGATTCTGGGACAAGTGGGTAGCGCAAGCAAAAGAAGGAAGTTGGATCCTTGGTTTACACCAGACATAAAAACAAATTCAAAGTGGATCAAAGATCTAAATCTAAGAGCTGAAACCACAGAACTCTTAGAAGAAGACACAGGGGAAAAGCTTCATGACATCCAATCTGGTATTGATTTACATATGGCACCAAAGCAGAGGCAGCAAAAGCAGACTGACCCATTGAACTCCATGAAAACAGAAAACTTTGGGGCATCAAAGGGCACTATCAAGACAGTGAAAAGACAACCTGCAGAAGAGGAGAGAAAAAGAATCCCAGGAACTAGCGTTCTATAGAGCCCCTGTGGCAACACTGGCCACTCCACCCTCCTATCTGTGTAGACAGCTTGTTCAGCCTGTGTGGACTACTCTCTATCTTCCCAATCAGCTATGCTCTCTCCCACCTCTAGGCCTTTCTGCACAAGCTATTCTGTCGGTAAGGAGCTCTTTTGTCTCCTGCTCCATGACCCACCTGCTTTTGCAAAAGGTGACCCACTTACTTTTGCTCACCTTCAAGGGCCATTTAAACATCACTTCTGGGCTGGGCGAGGTGGCTCACGCCTGTAATCCCAACACTTTGGGAGGCCGAGGCGGGTGGATCACGAGGTCAAGAGATCGAGACCATCCTGGTCAACATGGTGAAACCCCGTCTCTACTAAAAATACAAAAAATTAGCTGGGCATGGTGGTGCGTGCCTGTAATCCCAGCTACTCAGGAGGCTGAGGCAGGAGAATTGCTGGAACCCAGGAGGTGGAGGTTGCGGTGAGCTGAGATCGCACCATTGCACTCCAGCCTGGGTAACAAGAGCGAAAAACTCTGACTCAAAAAAAAAAAAAAAAAAAATCACTTCTTTAGGGTACCTTCCTGGATATCTTGTCATATCTGCAGACAGCATCTGCAGTACTTCCACCACGATAGTATAATAATATCCAGTCATTTTTGTTTATTTTCTTGCATTTCTCTGTCACTGGGCTGTTACCTTCATGGAGGAGGGACCCCATGCAGCCTATGAATTGCTGTGTCTGCCACAAGCACAGTGCGTGGGATCAGCAGGTGCTCCATCACTACTTGAGGAAGGGAGAAAGTCAGAGAAGGAGGGGTGGATATTGAATTCTTAAAAGTCACGCTTCCCCCCATTATAGATCTGGGTCTCACCGAAGCTCCAGGAGCAGAGCTGCTCCTCCCACCTCACATTCATTAATTTTTTGCCTTCTGCTCGAGTTTTCTGTGCACATATTTCATCCTGTGAGGGCCCCGTTTGTCTCTGCATTCCCTACAGCACCATGAACATAGCAGATGCTTAATAAACCGTTACATAAATACGCACGCACATTTTAAAACCGTCTGTTGTAAAGGAACCATTTTGACCTTTGGTTGTCCTATTTAAAGACAGGCAAAGAATCCCAAAGTCACCCAACATGCACGTGGGCCATCTTTTGTTATCAGCTCTTCACTGCTATTTATGCATCTTCCATTTCAGATGACCAGTTTGAAAATTGTCGTGAAGTGTAAAAGTATAAAAATATAATTTCTTTTGTTTTTTTTTCTCAAGGAGGTGGGCTTACTTCTAAATGAACGATGGTAAGTATTGCGTCAAACTTCCCATCAGAAATCAGGCAAGCGTGATGAGAACGGAGTCAAATACAAAAAGCGTTGAAAGAAAAACTCCTATCAACCTAGAATCTGTATCCAGTGGAATTTTTCTTCAAAGGTGGAGAGGATATGAAGATGAAGAAAAGCCGAGAGAAGAATTTTCCAGTAGACCTGCCTTGCACGTCAAAAGAAGCCCTTCAAGGAAAAGCGAAATGAAACCTTGGCTCTACATAGAGAAAGGAAGAACATCAAAGATGGAATAAATGGAGGTAAAAGAAAATATTTTATTTTTACTATTTTTTTTTTTTTTTGAGATGGAGTCTCACTCAGTCGCCCAGGCTGGAGTGCAGTGGCACGATCTCAGCTCACCACAAGATCTGCCTCCTGGGTTCAAGCGATTCCCCTGCCTCAGCCTCTCAAGTAGTTGGGACTACAGGCGCACACACTACCATGCTCGGCTAATTTTGTTTTTGTAGTTTAGTAAAACCAGGGTTTCACCACGTTGGCCAGGATGGCCTCGAACTCCTGACCTCGTGGTCCACCCATCTCGGCCTCCCAAAGTACTGGGATTACAGGCATGAGCCACTGGACCTGGCCTATTTTTATTATTAATTGGCCTTATAGATAATTGTTTTTTAAAAGTTAAAAACAAGAATGTCTCAAATGATTCTGGCTCATGGTTAAGTGCATGAATACCAGCAATATCTAAGGAATGGGAGGAAGGAACAGGGAACCCTCTGTTACGGGGTATCTGCACTTGCTCTGTTGTTTTAAGAGATGTCTGCTTTCTTTTTATCAAGCAGAAGACAAAGGAATTCATGGTGGCAACGATGCCGGCAAAGAGAGCTCCAGGGCTGAATTTTCCCAGCAATTACATTCCCCAGGAGTCAGGAGAGTGTGACAGAAACCTAGCTCTGACCCCTGCTCTCACCCCTCCAGAAGCTGGGGGCCAGGACCCGTCCACTCTAGGGACACAAGTTCTTCTTTTAGGTAGCTCCAGCTTATTGGTCTCCGCAACCAACCATTGACTTAATAAGCTCATTTCGTTAATAGATGTACATGCATCTATTAATGAATAACTTCACCCATGAAATGGCAGGCTCCAGAAGGGCTATGAAATGGTGGTGCCTCACGCATTCACTTGCCACCATGCCGCCTTTGAAAGAATGAATGTTTTTTCCATCTGGTGGAGGTGAGAATTGAATGTAGAGCCTGCTGAAGCTGTGTATTTACCTCGCCACTCTTTGCAGGGACAGAGTCAATCTCTGGTTTCCCCCACATATCTCAGGATGGAAGGAAACGGGGACTCTTCTTCCTGTATCATGGAAGGCGGAATGAAGGCCTCGCCAAGGAAAGAAACTCACTAAATCTGACAGACGTAAGGCCTGCCTGAAATCGGTGAGGCTCATCCCAGTCCAGAGCTCAGGCAGTGAGAAATTCACCAAAGCTCCCTTTCTGGGGAGAATTAGAGAAATGTTTGATGCTCAGAGACAGGCACCTAGAAATGCCATAAATAATGTCACAAAGAACGCCTCAAATGACGGGCTCAAATCATACTAGAGTGAAAGAAACACCACCCTCACCACAAATTCCTAACAGCCCCCTAAGCCAATCTCCTGACCGCCACCGCCCCCGCCCCCACAGCAAACGCCTGCCACACACCAACAAGGGAGAAGAGTCCTTGTCACTTACCCAGAACCGTGTGGGAGCTGTTGGGTGGTGGCTGCAGGACAGTGAGACACCTTGACAGGTCTCTGGCCTGGAGAAGTTGGGGAGAAAGTTCCCTCCAGGGTGTCCCTCAGTTTGGGCTCTTAAGGTAATCACGGAGAGAGCCTGCAGATGTTGAGAGTTTGAGAGGGTTCAGGAAGGTTCCTGGAGCCACAGGAGAGGAGGCAGCTGTTGGCCGTTGGGGAGACAGTTGGAGAAGGTTCCAGCGAAGTTCCAGGGACGAGCTAATACGTAGGGCAGACGAGAACAGGAAAGAAGAATGGGTGGGTTTGCGGCATTCCTCCTTCCAAGGATTCTAAGGAAAAGAGTGGAAATGGCAGAGACGATTCTCTTACTGTTTCTCCTGCCTTTCGAGATGCGCTGAGAGTCAGGCTGAAGGGACGCTGGAGGTGCAGAGTCAGGAGCAGGAGGCTGGAGGGACCACCGAGACCAGAATCCAGGGAAAGAGGACCGGCATTTCACCACGGAGAGCAACAGGCATGCTGCCACAGACGGGGGAGAGACCGCGACGGACAGCCATCCTCAGCTCCCAGCCTGGGGGGATTTATTTATTAATGATTATTTAAAGACGGAGTTTCACTCTTGTTGCCCAGGCTGGAGTGCTATCATGCGATCTGGGCTCACTGCAACCTCTGCCTCCCAGGTTCAAGCAATTCTTGTGCCTCAGCCTCCGGAGTAGCTGGGATTACAGGCACCACCACCACGCGCAGCTTTTTTTCTTTTTTTGTACTTGTAGTAGAGACGGGGTTTCTCCGTGTTGGCCAGGCTGCTCTTGAACCGCTGACCTCAGGTGATCTACCCATCCTGGCCTCCCAAAGAGCTGGGATTACAGGCGTGAGCCACCCGCTGAACCAGGCTACTGTAGGGATTTAGAAACCTCCCATTCCTCGACAAGTGTGGCCTGGAGCCTGCAGAATGATGGAGAACACCACCACCTGGTTCAGCCCGAGGTATTTCAGGCTGGCTCTGACTTGGGTAACTAGGCCCGGGGCAAGTACGTGGTTTTCAGGTCCCAGGTTTCCTGCTGTGTTTTAAATAACCACACCTGGAACCATCGCTTGCTTTCTAGAGAATTTCTCCCAGGAAAATCAGTGAATCAGTGAAAAGTTAAACATTAACCCAGTGGTTCTGCACAGTAGACCATCTGAGAAATTCCTGAAAACACCAATGCCTGGCCCCACAACAAGTGGATTAGACTAGAATCTCTGAGGGTGAAGCCTAGACATGGAGGTTTTCAAATGCTTCCCAGATGATTCTCATATGCAGCCAGGCTGGAGAGTCCTTGTATTTAATCTATATAAATAGCAGGCATGCACCAGGTGTGGAAGGTACAAAGATGAACAAGGTGAGGATCCTGCTCTTGATAAGCTCACAGCTTAGCGAGGGAGTTGAGCATCTAAACAAACAGCCAGGTGTGGTGGCTCATACCTGTAATCCCAACACCATGGGAGGTGGGAGTATTGCTTGAATCAAGGAGTTCAAGACCAGCCTGGACGACATAGTGATACCACCCCCATCTCTACTAAAAGAAAAAGAAAAAATTAGCTAGGTGTGGTGGTGCACACCTTGAGGCTGAGGAGGGGGAACTGCTTGAGCCTGGGAGGTAGAGGCTACAGGGAGCCACGTTTGTGCCATCGTACTTCAGCCTAGAGTGAGACCCTGTCTAAAAACAAAATAAAACAACACAGCAAACAAAATCACAACTGAGGGCCAGGTACAGTGGCTTACACCTGTAATCCTAACTATTTGGGAGGCCAAGGCAAGTGGATCACTTGAGGTTAGGAGTTTGAAACCAACCTGGCCAACATAGTGAAACCCCATCTCTACTAAAACTACAAAAGAAATTAGCCAGGTGTGGTGGCATGCACCTGTAATCCCAGCGACTTGGGAGGCTGAGGCAGGAGAATTGCTTGAACCTGGGAGGCGGAGGTTGCAGTGATCTGAGATTGCACCACTGCACTCCTGCCTGGGTAACAGAGTGAGACTCTGCCTCAAAAAAAAAAAAAAAAAAAAAAAAAAAAAAATCACCAACTGTGTGCCGAGTTCAGTCATAGAAGCACTCCCAGATTAAAGAGGAGGGTGTGTTAATCATGTTTAAAAAAACATTTTTTTTTTTTAGAGACATTGTCTTACTCTGTTGCCCAGGCTGGAGTGCAGCGGTGTGATCATAGCTCACTGCAGCCTTGAACTCCCGGACTTCAGGGATCTTCCCACATAGCTAGGACTGCAGTCCATACATCACCATATCTGGCTAATTCTTAAATTTTCTGTAGAGATGAGAGTCTCGCTATGTTGCCGAGGCTGGTCTTGAACTCCTGGGCTCAAGCAGTCCTCCTGCCTTGGCCTCCCAAAGCAGTGGGATTAGAGGTGTGAGCCCCTGTGTCCAGCCAGTCATGTTTTAAATTTTCTGTATTTTATGATTGTTTGACATCTTGGGGGCCTTGCTGGCCTAAAAGAGACTGTCCCTCCCAGGGCTAGCTAATTCCTATAGATAGTAAGTAACTTGCCTGTGAACTTGCCTTTCATGTGCATGACAACCAATTCATTCCCCAGCCCCCGACCCTTTATCTACTGTCACACACCAAGCCAATACTCCCCCTGCCCTAAATCACCCCAGACCACCAACATTATGCAAACCAGCCAATCCTCAACAGCTCAGCCACTCCGCCTGCCCCTTCCTTCCTTCCCATAGGAAATGCAATCAGGGCCCTACTTTGTCTGGCTCTTCCTGTCTCCTGACCTACCAGCTGCTTCCCCATGTGGCCCTGTGTGACCTAGTATGCCCCTTTCTCTTGGAAACTATAGGTAATACATTCTCTCAGTGGCATTGGCCTCTTCGTGTTGTTACTCTGTAACTCCTCTCAGCTAAAATCCCACCACTACAATCAAGACAGAGGGTGTGACTCTCTTATGGAACGGGGATCAGAAAAGGTTTTGGGAGAGGGACAGGAGAAGGTGCAAAGGCACTGGGGCAGAAGGACTCGGAGGCTGGTGGACGAGGGATGGGATGGAATTGCTGGAGCACCAAACACAAAGGACCAAGAGAGTTGGGGTGGGGACCGCATCCAAGTCTTAGGCTGAATGGGAGAATCCCAGGGTCAGCATGGGACACCACCCTTCACCATTGTCACTCAGCCTTACAACATCTCCAAGAGCTGGATAGAAGACAGGAGACTGGTCAGGAGTTCGAGACCAGCCTGGCCAACATGGTGAAACCCCGTCTCTACTAAAGATAAAAAATTAGCCGGTGTGGTGGCATGCGCCTGTAGTCCCAGCTACTCAGGAGGCTGAGGCAGGAGAATCTCTTGAACCCAGAAGGCAGAGGTTGCAGTGAGCCGAGATAGCGCCACTGCACTCCAGCCTGGGCAACAGAGTGAGACTCCGTCTCAAAAAAAAAAAAAAAAAAAGAAGAAGAGAGGAGACTATTCTACAGGTGGGAAACTGAGGCATGCTGAAGAGTTGATTCCTCTTTAAATAAGAGCTGACTTACGCCCTTGTCTTCTCTCCAGCAAGTCCTGTGAACTAACTCATTTCACAGTGTGGGTTTCTGTGAGGTTAACAAGGTCATCGTGGAGAGCCTTCAGGCTGGCACCAACATTCCTGGCCTGAAACTATAGCAAGAGAGACTATAATGGCAAAAGCCCTTATCCAGAGGGAAGACGTGCTTTGCGCGTGGACTACCACTGCGAGCTTGTGCCGTGGTCAAGCTTCCTATTCTTTCTATTCCTGTTTCCTCTTCTTTAGAGTGGGCACACTAATCCACGAGGCAAGCAGACGAGGAAGGAGAAGGGTGAGCAGTGCTTGACACATACTATGTTTGATTCCACCTTTTCCCTCTTATTTCTTTATTGAGACAGGATCCTGCTGTGTCGCCCAGGCTGGAGGGTAGTGATGTGATCAACCCTCCAGGCTCAGGCAATCCTCCCATCTCAGCCTCCTGGGTAGCTGGCACTACAGGCACGTGCCACCACACCTGGGTAATTTTTTGCATGTTTTGTAAAGACAGGATTTTGCCATGTTGCCCAGGCTGATCTCGAACCTTTGGGTTCAAGCAATCCACTCACCTTGTCCTCCTAAAGTGCTGGGATTCTAGGCGTCAGCCCCAGTGCTTGGCCTTATTTTTTCCCTCTTAAACCAAGAAAAATTCTAACTCTGATGAGAACAAAAAGAGAGAGGATTACAGGCTTGAGTTACCATGCCCGGCCTACATTCAGTAGTTTTATTCTCATTTTCTATGCTTTAAATATCTGATATTTTACAATACCTTACAGTTTGCTTTATTTTCCCTTTATTACCCAGGAGAATCTACCAGCAAAAAAACATTCCGTTTTGAAATAATTTTCTAAAGTCTAAAAAAAAAAAAAAAAAAAAAAAAAGAGAGAGGATTTATCAAAACCGCAAGAGAGCAGCTCAGGAGTGCCAAGGGATGAGACTTCAGTAAGGGTGTCTCTTCCAGCCCATCAGTGCCATAAGGTACTCCTTGGGGCTGTTGATCTGCGGCAGAACCACAAGATCTGCTCAGCTAGCCAGTGTCAGCTTCTATCTTCTTGCTGTGCTAAATAAGGCCTGTCACTTTCCCGGAGAGTCTCCAGAGAATACTGCAGGGGAAACAGATGTTGCAATAGGCCCAAGGAGCTCAGATACCCGCCCATCCTGTTTCCTGAGCTTCTCTGTAGAAAGGCAAGGTAGGGGATTGTCTTTTCCATCATCCCCGCTCTCTGCCTTTAGGTCCTCTGCTCCACGTGGAAGCCTTGTGCCCCTAGAGCTGCTCTGATGACAACAGCAGCTTTTATTGTTTGAGCACTCACCGTGTGCCAAGCAGTATGTGAGCACACATAACTAGCACTGTTCCATTTCATCCTCCCACAGACCTGTGTCGGGGGACTCTTACCCCCACTTTATAGCTGAAGCTTGGGGGGACTGAAAACTTTATCCAAGGTCACACAGCTAGTGAATGAAGAGCTGGATCCCAATCCAGATCTGCCTGAATCCAAAGCCCGTGTGCTTCCTCCCTGCACGAAGGTGTCCTGGGTCGCTTTACATTTTCCAGCCTCAGTCCAAAGACCTGTGGACACGAACCGTGGTTGTGCAAGCTGTATCTCTTTGATTCAGTTCACCCAATCTGCGACACTTTGGCTCTTCCATCTTTAATACCTCTCCTATGTTTCATCTCATTCATTCTGCATGCGTCTAATCAACAGATTTCCACTGGGGTCCTCTCCAGGCCAGGTGTGAAGTACCTCTAAGGCTACATGGCCCCTTCCCACTATACCAGGGTGCAATTAAAATCAAATTTTTTTAAAAAAAAAGTGGTTTCAGCTGGATCTAGAATGCAGTTTAGCTGATCCCTTCTGGGAAAGGTGGAGCTCACTCTGACTGTCTTCTTTTTTTTTTTTTTTTGAGACACAGTGTCACTCTATCACCCAGGCTGGAGTGATCTCGGCTCACTGCAACCTCCACCTCTGAGCCCATGCAATTTAAATATCCACAGACCAGCCGGGCACAGTGACTCATGCCTACAATCCTAGCAGATT